TTTTTTTTTTTTTTTTGGAGAGGTTTTCGCTATAGGGTGCGTGTGCTCGTCAGACAGACAGAGACAGACATAGAGACAGAAAGCGAGAAATCACCCCCCAGGGGGATGGTCACGCCACAATCCCTTCTCCTCCATTCTCCTCTCGGGATCTTGGGCATGCACGCACACACACCCGGGGTGAGTTTTAAGCCACCGGGTCCGGGACACGTACCACGGTTGACTACATGGGAGTCCAGCGACATAACCATTATGCTAACTGCTGGTTCCCTCCATTCTATTTTTGAATGATGTTTCAGTCCAGTTGCTCATCTAGTCCATTAAATATTTCATTCTGATCTGCCAGAATTGTTTTAAGAGTGACTTTCAAGAAAACATTTATAACAAATTATAAATGTACATAAACTTTTGCATAGAATTTTCTTAAGAGAATTTATCCACATCTAGGTCATATTTGAAAATATGAACAATTTTTAGTTGAGAATGGTGTGTCTTATGTTGATATGTGGAGTTGGAAACAAAAATGTTGATCAGTATAGGAATGTTTGAAAATATAAGCTTCCTCCATATTAAAAGAATATTTTTTGTCTACAAAAAGGACTTGTGGAAATGTATATGTTTACATATCCTGTGTGTTTTTTTGTATATATCAAAAAATAGTATGTATGCATAATTCTATTTTCATAAAACAAAAAGACTATGAAACATGTATGAATGGCCATTCTACCAAAATAGAACTAAATATTTGCCTAAGAGTATATGGGACTTTAGGTGCTAGTTTTCTTGCATTTGCTTTTTTGTTTTGGGTACTCAATATGCAGTCATTTTGTAAAAAGGATTAAAAATGAATGTCCAAATATTAAATATTCAGCCTGTGCATCACAGCATATTTAATATTACTAGGAATTAGAGACCAGGCCAGATAAACTAGCATACATTCATTAATGGATCACTATACAGCACTTTTCTTTTTTTCTGTTTTTCAGCTTTTTTTTGCAGCCCTTTTCAAATGCTGACTGGATGCTAGGATATATGTTTAAGAACAGTATCATGGGGGCAACTCTTTGCATAGTAATTAAGGTGGCTGGATATCGTGATTTGAGTCCTATATTCCAGAGCTTGAAAAAAGACACCCAGTAAGTCCTTGCCCAAAATTTTCAAAGGAGAGAGAAATGTAGAAGGGATTGTGGGATAACTATTCTCCATATGGGTACATTCTCTTTTTCTCTTCTGTGAGTTCATGTGGGCTTTGGCAAATTAAAAACAAAAAAAGTATCATCCTTACTCCTGGGTAACCCAAGCACACCTGTGCCTCAGGGGACAAGGCAGAGAGAAGAATATTATCAGAAAATGCTAGCACACGCACAAACATACACACACACACACACACACACCCAAGGAAGGCAGCAGTGCTGAGCAACCCAAACCAAGATAATGAGGGTTCTGTTATTTTCTATTTAACCCTAAAAGCCATCAGATTCTGTGTGGGGTCACCCAGATGCCTACAGTTCTGGGCTGCTCCTGTCTGGGTTCACATATAGTCCCAGTGACCTGGCCGGATGTTAGGAGGGACCCCGCCAAGAGATAAAGCCAGTGCGGTGTTTTCCGTGATTGTTTGAGACAGTTACTAAAATTGTGCTAACAGGCAGATTTGGGGTGACTCAAATTGTGCCTATAGACAGACTCCCCAGGCCAGCTTATCACCCCAAACACACACTCTTAGGGACCTGGTTTGATGGTAAGGAAATGGTAAGGAAAACCACACTGTCGCCCCTCCAGAGCCGACCTAAAGGGGTAGAGCACCCTCTTGTTTTACGCCAGGGAGCGCAGGGTTGGGCGGCTCCAGGATCAGGAGAACAATCACGTGGCATCCAGCTCACCAATTAGAGGTGAAGATTGGCAAACTCCACCCACCGCCTCGCTCCACTGGCTTTGGCCTTCACCCTGGTAGCGAGCTAGCGGCCACGGTCTCTTGTCTCTGAGCGAGAATCTGGCACCATGGCCTCCTGGTCACAGTGGCAGAAGGAACTGAAGCACCTTCAGGGTGAGGGAACTGGAGGGCCAAAGAACAAGGCCGCCCCTGCCCCAGGAGCGGCCCACGAGACTGGCCTTCATGATCCTGTTGCTTCGAGTAAGGTGTCTCCTTCGAGCAGCGGCGCCCTGCACAGCAGCACAGCATGCTCCTCCTCTGCAGCTGAAGTCGCAGCCTCAGCAGCCATTTCCTTCTCTGCAGGGGGCGGGGTGTATGTTGATTTCCATCCCATTCAATTTTCTATTCCATATCCTGTTCAAATCCATATTCCATTTCACATTTTAATCCAGTTTCTGTTTCAGTCAATCTGTATTTCATCCTATTTTGCAGTCTGTTTCAAAATTTTTCTATTCCACATTATTTAACACACCAAATAGCATTCCATTCTATTTTTTTTTTTTTTGGAGAGGTTTTCGCTATAGGGTGCGTGTGCTCGTCAGACAGACAGAGACAGACATAGAGACAGAAAGCGAGAAATCACCCCCCAGGGGGATGGTCACGCCACAATCCCTTCTCCTCCATTCTCCTCTCGGGATCTTGGGCATGCACGCACACACACCCGGGGTGAGTTTTAAGCCACCGGGTCCGGGACACGTACCACGGTTGACTACATGGGAGTCCAGCGACATAACCATTATGCTAACTGCTGGTTCCCTCCATTCTATTTTTGAATGATGTTTCAGTCCAGTTGCTCATCTAGTCCATTAAATATTTCATTCTGATCTGCCAGAATTGTTTTAATAGTGACTTTCAAGAAAACATTTATAACAAATTATAAATGTACATAAACTTTTGCATAGAATTTTCTTATGAGAATTTATCCACATCTAGGTCATATTTGAAAATATGAACAATTTTTAGTTGAGAATGGTGTGTCTTATGTTGATATGTGGAGTTGGAAACAAAAATGTTGATCAGTATAGGAATGTTTGAAAATATAAGCTTCCTCCATATTAAAAGAATATTTTTTGTCTACAAAAAGGACTTGTGGAAATGGATTTGTTTACATATCCTGTGTGTTTTTTTGTATATATCAAAAAATAGTATGTATGCATAATTCTATTTTCATAAAACAAAAAGACTATGAAACATGTATGAATGGCCATTCTACCAAAATAGAACTAAATATTTGCCTAAGAGTATATGGGACTTTAGGTGCTAGTTTTCTTGCATTTGCTTTTTTGTTTTGGGTACTCAATATGCAGTCATTTTGTAAAAAGGATTAAAAATGAATGTCCAAATATTAAATATTCAGCCTGTGCATCACAGCATATTTAATATTACTAGGAATTAGAGACCAGGCCAGATAAACTAGCATACATTCATTAATGGATCACTATACAGCACTTTTCTTTTTTTCTGTTTTTCAGCTTTTTTTTGCAGCCCTTTTCAAATGCTGACTGGATGCTAGGATATATGTTTAAGAACAGTATCATGGGGGCAACTCTTTGCATAGTAATTAAGGTGGCTGGATATCGTGATTTGAGTCCTATATTCCAGAGCTTGAAAAAAGACACCCAGTAAGTCCTTGCCCAAAATTTTCAAAGGAGAGAGAAATGTAGAAGGGATTGTGGGATAACTATTCTCCATATGGGTACATTCTCTTTTTCTCTTCTGTGAGTTCATGTGGGCTTTGGCAAATTAAAAACAAAAAAAGTATCATCCTTACTCCTGGGTAACCCAAGCACACCTGTGCCTCAGGGGACAAGGCAGAGAGAAGAATATTATCAGAAAATGCTAGCACACGCACAAACATACACACACACACACACACACACCCAAGGAAGGCAGCAGTGCTGAGCAACCCAAACCAAGATAATGAGGGTTCTGTTATTTTCTATTTAACCCTAAAAGCCATCAGATTCTGTGTGGGGTCACCCAGATGCCTACAGTTCTGGGCTGCTCCTGTCTGGGTTCACATATAGTCCCAGTGACCTGGCCGGATGTTAGGAGGGACCCCGCCAAGAGATAAAGCCAGTGCGGTGTTTTCCGTGATTGTTTGAGACAGTTACTAAAATTGTGCTAACAGGCAGATTTGGGGTGACTCAAATTGTGCCTATAGACAGACTCCCCAGGCCAGCTTATCACCCCAAACACACACTCTTAGGGACCTGGTTTGATGGTAAGGAAATGGTAAGGAAAACCACACTGTCGCCCCTCCAGAGCCGACCTAAAGGGGTAGAGCACCCTCTTGTTTTACGCCAGGGAGCGCAGGGTTGGGCGGCTCCAGGATCAGGAGAACAATCACGTGGCATCCAGCTCACCAATTAGAGGTGAAGATTGGCAAACTCCACCCACCGCCTCGCTCCACTGGCTTTGGCCTTCACCCTGGTAGCGAGCTAGCGGCCACGGTCTCTTGTCTCTGAGCGAGAATCTGGCACCATGGCCTCCTGGTCACAGTGGCAGAAGGAACTGAAGCACCTTCAGGGTGAGGGAACTGGAGGGCCAAAGAACAAGGCCGCCCCTGCCCCAGGAGCGGCCCACGAGACTGGCCTTCATGATCCTGTTGCTTCGAGTAAGGTGTCTCCTTCGAGCAGCGGCGCCCTGCACAGCAGCACAGCATGCTCCTCCTCTGCAGCTGAAGTCGCAGACCCACCTTCTCTGAAGAGGACGCGGGGCTGCCCTCTATGCAGGCCAAGAGGCGCTCTCACCGCCAGGGCAGCCGGAGCCCTGCGGGGCAGCCCCTGAAAGGCAGTGGCCAGGCCGGAGGGAAACCGGCCCAGACCCAGGGAGGGCACCCGGCCCAGACCCAGAGCCCCACAAGTAACCGTCGCAGAAAGCAGCCCAACCGCAAGCAGGCTGTCCAGGCTCAGAAGCCTTCAGAGCGCCGTCTAGTGCCTGGGGCACCCAGGTCTCAGTGTTCTGGGCCTGTGCTGCCATCTTCTCCAGGGTCTCAGGCCCACAGCCGCCTCCGTCGCCGCCATTTGCAGGTTAACAGGTGGAGTCACGCATCCGGGGCAGGGCCTGCCCCCCGCAGTCATGCGTGTGAGCCAGCCGCAGCTCGTCCAAGTAGAAGCCAAACA